AATCCATTAAGTCCATCACTCTAATAGATAAATCATATGGTGTGATTGGGTGTAATTCATAATTCCATTCCAATTGTCCAAAATGCGGGTCCCGATAAGTCCAAACCAATATACCAAAAATTAGGGTTTTCTAAACCCTAATTAGGGTTTCCAACCCAATCACAACCCAATAGGCCCAAAAGCTAAGTCCTTAGATCCATTAGGGTTTCGTTAGGCCCACTAGGGTTTCATTAGTCGGGCACCACCCACTACTACCTCGGGTAGTGGTGGTCAACGGAGGCTCACGACGGCTTACGGCGGCGGCCACCACCTCACGGTGGTGGTTATTGTTCTAGTATATTTTTGTCCAAGCATCCCAAACGAAATTTAAACACAAACAAAGCACACCGCCACCCAACACGACGGCTGGTGGTGGCAGGAGGCGGCACCCACCACCTCATGGTGATGGTTAAGAGTTTTCTTTTGATTACACTAGCACTAATTGCAATTTACAACACAAATCCCAATAACACACACACTCACTAACATAAATACACACACACAGCCACCCTTGTGGCGGTAGGCGGTGGTTGGAGGTGGCAGCCACCACCTCACGGTGGTGGCGGTGGGTTTTCTAGCCATATATTGCGCAAACAACTCCAAAAACACACTCATCCAAGGATATACTCACACAGCCACCACCTCACGGTGCCTTGTGGTGGCAGAAAGCGGTTACAGGGAAACAACCACCATGGTCGGCTGGCATGGTGGGTTTTTCTCTTGATCTCCGGCCAAGCGATCACGCACACACAACAAACAAAATCAGCAACAGCATCACATGCTAAATTCAAACAAACCACCCACCTGGTGGCATGCAACGGTCGGAGGTCGGTAACGGAAAGGAACAGCCGTTGGGGTGGCGGTGGTGACGCAGCAGCATGATTAGCGGAAACAGCAACGACTACAATCGGTGTTATCAAGGGCGGATGGAGCTGGAAGGTGGCACCGGCGAAGCAACAACAAAATGCAGTGGAGGGAAGAAAGCCATTTGCGGTTCTGCAACAGTGGAACAATGTGCGTCTTCAATCGATGGCGACGACTCCTCCACGATTCGCTTATGTCTCCGACAACCACGTCGTAATGGCGTTCATCAGGGAGGCAGGAGGCGACGACCTTGTTGTCATCGGCAAAGGAAGATACGACAGTGAACAGTCTCGCCGACATCAACGGTTTGCGGTAGTTCGATGGAGGAGACAACAGTGTTGGGGTAGGAGAGATAAGGTGGTGGCGACCGGAACTTAGGGGTTGGCGGCTGGTATCTCATTTAGGGTTAGGGTTTCGGAAGGGTAACGATTATATACTCCCAACCATATCAAGCCTTTGCCATAATGACACTTCCAATCCCTCATTTCCCTCATTCTTTAAAACTCAGTCCATATTTTACCTTTTAAACCCCGCCTTCTGAAATCCTTTACAAATCAAGTCTGAATTTTACCAATCAGCCCCTCCCTCAACAAATTATTTTCAATTGAAGTCCTTATGTTACCAAATGGCCCCTCCTCTATAAAACCTTTTCAACTTAGGTCCAAATGATACCAAACACCCCCTGTCTTCTAAAAATATTTACAAAATAAGTCTCGAATTTACACTTTAACCCCCGAATAACCCAAATTATAACATTTGGCTCCCGAAAACCAACACCCCACTAAATTATGGATTTTATGGATACTATCTATTTATTTATTTGCTAAACGGGGTGTTACACTCGAGCCTACTATGAACAATAATTTCACAACCAACCATTAAGGGTACCCATACCCAGAAACCAAAATGTACAATGTACAAATTTTGACAATAGGTTGAAGCATCCATTGAACTCCAACTGATACAGCTTGAATCTTCCAAGGAATCTCTACTATTGATGATGAACGAAAAGACTAACGATCGAGAGTGCATTGAAAACTAATCCATTGATCCAATACACTACTGGACAAAGCCCATATGGAACTAAACATACCAAACTCTAAAACTAATTAACTGATCAACAACTGCCCATCCTAGAATATAGATATTAATCTATACAACAAGCTGACAATCCCACAACAATCGATACTCAACCTAAGCGACCTAAACGCCTCTTGACCTATTCCTCGATGTTCTCGATAGGAACCACTGGCTACAACGAGCTCCTTGTCTAATAACTTCTTACCACGAAGACGACTATTGCATGCCTGAACACATACATCTGATGGAAACTTGCTCTGCACCCCCGTCTTGACCAAATACTGAACCAAATTTTCGTATACCTAAAGCACAATCCCTATGACCCATTCTTCTGAAACCATAAATCAAACCGATCAATGATCCTCCAAGCAAAATATCCAACTCTCCCCGACTTAGGGTTCAAACTACCACCAACTGACATTGCAAACAGAGCAACTCAAACCAGCTCACTCAGATACATAGCATCCTTGACCCTTGGGATGTATAACACAATATAAGATGATCTTCCAGATAAAGACCAAGCAAACTCAAAGAGATTCTAAATCTCAGATGGAGACATCGGGAACTTTCAATCATGACTGCCTCTAACATCAAGAATCCCATGCAGATGCACAAGCAATAATTATGACAGTCCATTCATAGCAACAACTTCCTATCTAGAAACAAATAGACTACTACACTCCTCTCCTGAAAATCCCCAACCATCAATTCATTGTGAGAATCATTCATAAATACAATAGGCATCATTCTTATAGTCGGGATACATTAAAGACAACAAAAGTTGTCGTTCCTGATTCACTTCCCTGATCACCTGAACCATCAGCTAGCACCTGGCTTACCTATATCCAAAGAAAGTAGACCCTTGATCTCATCTCAAGGCAACCATACCACAAGAACCCACTTGTGCATTCCAATCCATCTGCCAATCACTCAGTCTCCGGCTGCAATCCTCAAGCCGATCATAACAATCGCTTCTTTCTTGAGTCCCGCAATTCAACTGGCACTACCTCGAGCAAGGCCCTCGAGACCTCAAAATCAACTAACTCACCTAGGTCTGCACCATTCAAACCCAACCTGACATGGCCACTAAGTCCCAAACAATCACCAACCTAACCTCAGCCTAAACAACCACTACTAGAAAAAAGGCTTTCCTTGACAGAAGAATTACGACATACAACACTTTTATGACAGGCATAAAAGACTGTCATAAAATTTATGTCATATATTGTAAAATATCAATTATTTACGACAGACAAAATGTATGTCGTAACTTTATGTCATATTTTAAAGAGTAAATTAGAATGATTTTTATCCGTTAATACTATAAGGAAAAGTTAGTAATCGCAAACAATAATACAATGATGCTATGTCGATAAGTACATGAGCACTATATAGTATGAAAAAAATTAAAGCAAGTTTAAAGGATGTGCATTAAATATTAAAACCAATAAACCATTAGATTAGTGCAAAAAAACTAATTACAAAGCAGGGAAAAAAACCCAAACCGGCGAACCAATTTGAAAAAGCTCAACTTTGGTGTGAGGAAAAAAACAAAAAGATGAGTGTTTGGAAAAAAATTTATATTTTTTGTGAAAACTCTAAAAAAACCCCTGAAGAATGACCTTTCTAATCTGTAGGTTAGCATTATTTTTGTTTGCTAACCTACAAATAATAGTTATTATATATAAAAAACGATACATGGTAGAAAATATCATTTATAAAAAGGAAAATTATGCATGATAATAACTAGCAAAACACCAAAATTTTAAATGAAATAAGTGTTTGGATGGGTTGTAAAAAGAAATAAAAACAAAAGAGTTGAAGGATCGTTTCTATAACAAAAAAAACTAAAAGAGTTGAAGGACCATTTCTACAACTTGGATGATTTATGAATAGCAAAGAAAAATGCAAGGCTATTTCAATAATGTGGATTCCAATTTCAATAAAATGAGGCGTTTTTTAAAGTATTACCTCCTAAGAGCATCACATTTTGTTAATTTGTAGTATTAGGCTACAGTCGCCACCTCTCTCGCCAAACACTCGCTACTAATATTTACACCATCTTGTACGAGTCGTTAAGGGACTCGCCAGTGACGAATCGCAACTGTAGCAGTGAGAAGAGAGAGAAGGAAAAGATTGATTGTGTTTTGTTGGGGTTGTTTTTATTTATTTATTTATTTTTCAAAACAAAACCTATTAAATTTCTCTCACAACCACTCCCTACCTTTTTTAACATTGACAATATAAAAACCTATGTAGCAATAAAAAATTCTAAATTGATCGCCTAAACCACATATCCAAATTCCACTAAATGGGTCGACCCTAAACCACATACCCTAATTATACGGACGAATCCTCCATTTACTCTATCCAACAATCTGATATCCTAATCGATCCTTATTTGATCGAGTTTCATAACCACATATCCTATGCCCCAAATCTGATACTTTCGGACGCCGGATGACAGTTAATGTTAAGTTTCCGGCACCTGATTGTGTAACATTCTGTTTTAAAATAAAATAAATGAAATAAAATGAATAAAATAAAATAGATAAATAAATAAATAATAAACCCTAAAACCTCGAGATATATTTTATATTTTATTTTATTTTAGCCCTAAATCCGTAATAATTTATCAGTTTTAGCCATAAGAAGTTAAATGGTATAATTTCCAGAATTTGGAGTTTATATTGTAATATTAGGACTTGAAATGTAAAAGATTTTGTGAAGCATATGTGATAAGTAATTATTGGATTTAAATTGTAAAGGAATTGTAGAGGCAAGGACCAATCTCGTTAAAATACATCCAAGTTTGGTAAAACACGGACTTGAACCCGTGATTCCTTACCCCTCCCGTTTTTAGAGTGCAACACCCGAAAACCCTAACTCTACAACACTCTTTCAGCCGGGCATCCCAGCCGCCGCCGGCCTGCTGCTGTGAACAACCGCTGCCGCCACCTCCGTTCCTTGCTGCACCTAACCGCCGACCATCGCGGCTACCTTCCCTTCCGAAGAGAATGAGTGGCCACCGTGAGTGCGTCCGCTGCCACCATTCCTCCATCTTCTTCTTCTTCTTTCTGTCACCATCTGCAACCGCAACACGGCAGTTGTCGGTGCTGCTCCGACTGCCCCTCGCCTTCTTCTTCTTTCTGTCACCATTTGAATTGAGTGTATGATCTGAATATTCGTGAATTTATTGAAATTTGGGTTAAATCATGTGATGAAGGCAACAACGATTGCGGCTTTTGCGAGAATGACAGTTGAAGATTCAAAAAAGTTGCTTTTACCAGAATTCTACCCTTCTTGGGTTGTTTTCTCACAGAGACAGAAGTTGAGTGATACTTTTCTACCCTACATTCTTCCTGCTTTTGTACTTTCTCTCCGCTTTCTTTCTATCTTCTTCAGGGACTGATTATTCTGCTTAATCTTTCAGTTGACCTGGCTTAATAACTATGGAGTTGGAAATGAATTGGGAGTTGAAAATAGTTTATTTCAGGAAACAAATTGGTGTGCTTTAGAACACCAACTATACAGGTCCAAACATTTCTTTAGTTTGTAGACATTGTTATGCCAAATTAATTTTCAATATGTGCTTCAATTTCACAATGAATTCCAACACTACAATTTGTTAATATATGAATTATGAGCACAGACAAGGTTCACAAATTCATCCCTATAATCAAACACACCTTCAATCTTACAAGTTGATCAAGATGCCTCAAGTGAAGATTATAGCTAAGAATTTCATGGACATGGTGTCCTCCTTACCTGCCATGAAGCTCGACAAGCTATACGAGAATGCCTTCATTTGTGAAGCTATTCTCAGGTTATCTGTTTAAGTCCATCACTTTTTCATTGTTAATATATGTTTGATGTTTGATCATTTACTCAATGTGTTAACCACATTTTGTTGCTCAGGTCTTTGCCACCATTGGCCAAAAAGTATGTTCTTCAGTTGTTGTACATAGATGTGCCTGTGTCAGCCAGTTCATTGCAAGAATGGGTTCTTGTTGATGGTGCTTCAAAGCATAGAGTTGCTGTTGATAGACTCATTCAATTGAGAGTATTTACTGAAACTGTTGATAGGTACATGTGTTTGCTTAATTCCCTTTTACTTTTTTCTTTTTCAAACAGAGTTCCCTTCACTTATCTGGTTTATCTTTTGATGGATGATTTTTAGTTCATTAGATCATTGCCTACTTCATTTGCCATTTAATTCAAGATTATATAACCTTTTGAATTAAGTCTTATTTGCTGAAGTCCTGAATTGTGTCTGCAGGAAGAAGGAAGCCACTTACAGGTTAAACCTGATGTTTCAGATGAACCTTCGGAAGTATGTTGTTCATGGGTAAGTCATATGACTTAGTGGACTTAATGGTGATATGACTTAAATCACTTAATCTGGTAAGCTATATGTGTGTGTCTCGTTTTGACTTAATGCTGAAAGAATGACTTAATGGGAAAAAAACTTATATACCTCTATTGTTGAAACTTGTATCCCAACTCATCTCCAATGCTGATTGCTTATGCGTGTATGTATGTATGTGACATTTGAGGTGGTTTTTGTAGTGGTGTGTTACCAAGAGAACCTATGGCTGCAAATATAACAGTAAGACTCCCAAGCTTGTATAATCTTTTTATGTACTTTGTGTTACTTTCATTAAATTGTGAAGAATATATTTCGGTTTCTATCTTTAATCATTTTGCAGCTTCAGTATCTGTATGTTCTCTTTGATGACTTGCTATTGTGGCAATTTAGTGGTTCTTGCTGCATCTCATAAACTCTGCTGAAGTTGAGGTTACAACAAAGAGCATCAGTCCTTCCATGATGAAAGTCTTCCTACGAGGATTTTTAAGTCAAAGGTGGTTTTCAAATTATTTCTTAAAATTATATACCATTTTTCTCTTTAAAGTATGAATCTCATGATGGTTGATTCACATTTCCATAGGGACAATGAAGGTTCTCGGCTCACAGAAAGTGGTTTTCAGTTCCTGGTATGAAAAATATGTACTTGAATTTATTTATATTCTGTATTTTATTAAAATTATTGATATCCATTTTTTTTTGCATTACAGCTAATGGATACCAATGCACAACAATTTTGACAACAATTCTGAGGTATTCATATTTTTTGCATCTGTATCCAATTTTGACAACAATTTTTCTATATTCTCTAAATACTATATTTTGAGTCCTTTTTAAACTTTTTATGAATAGGACAGAGGAGTGGACTCTGCAGATCTGATCTCATTTCTGCTAGAACTTAGCTTTCATGTTACTGGCTAGGTATCATTTTTTTTTAATATATATATTTTAAAACATAAATGTGATTTGAAAACAAAAACAGGCATATAATATGAACACTTTAGATGAGATACAAAGGATAACAGTTAAAGATCTTGCAGACTTGGGACTCATCAAACTCCAGAACTGCCTTTGTTAAGTTGTTTCTTCTTTAATATAAACATGGACCTACACATTCATAGCAGAATTTCATGTCTGATAGCTGAAGGTGCTTCTAGAACTGCCTTTAAGCCTTCTAAAATTGTGAATTAGTCTATTGGGTTTTTCTTTTATTATTGGCAAGATTCCATATTGGGTGATGATTTCAACTCTGACCAACCAAGATTTCAATTGTTCTTTTAGCAGTTCAAGTACAATACTTAATCTGTGATTAGATATATCCCTAACCAGTTTGTAAGGTAAGGTCTTAACCTGTCTCATATTGGTCTATGTAAGCTTTCAATTGGGCCATTTGTTTATTTTTTGTTATTTGACTTCTATACTGAAATAAACTTTCAGTTACATCCTCTCTCTCTCTCTCTCTCTCTCTCTCTCATATATATATATATATATATATATATATATATATATATATATATATATAGAAAAATATATATAGAAAAATAAAGTTTTAAGATTGCTAACGGTTAAAACTTTATTTAATCTTAATCTCTTTTCTTAATCCAGGGTTATCTTCTCCAGTGATGCTAATTCCATTTTTGCCCTTCAGATTCCAAATATACCGGGCAGGGGAGCTTTACAAACATAAATCATGGCTTTTAAGGGCTTTACATCTTATAGTTGGTGGAAGGTGTGTACAATAACAATATAACATGCATATACTAAATTTGTTTCTATTAATTCAAGTTTCTATTAAAAGATTCAAGTGTTTTTTTAATTACAGGTTTTGATGGGGAGGCTTTTGGAAGGTTTTATAATGAATATTTTAATTACAGGTTTGTGGGAAGAATGAATATACAGATGTCGAGTTTGATAGGGTGCGTGAAAAATGGGATACTTATGTCATAAACTTAATTTACAAGTGATGTATTTGACAATTACTTTTTGATGAATTTGGAACGTATTTTTTGAATTTGACGCTATAGTTTGTGTAATTCAGACAATAAATTTGTAATTTAGTTTGATTAAGATTTGGTAGAATATATATATATATATATATATATATATATATATATATATATATATATATATATATAATTTCAAAAAACTATAAAACCATGACATACAAAGCATGTCGTAAAAATGTCAAAAATCATATTGTACAAAACATGTCGTAATTTGAAGTCGTAAATGTCCGTCATAAATAAAAAAAAAGTTACGAATTATGACAAACAAAGTCAGTCGTAAATGTATGTCGAAAACGCATGTCGTGTATGTATGTCGTAATTGTTGGTCATGAAAGTTTGTCGTAAACTTTATGACAGACCTAATGTCTGTCATTTTCCTTTATGACATGGCTTTCAATGACAGACATTTGTCTGTCATATATAGGCAATTATGACAGACATTTGTCTGTCAAGGAAAACCTTTTTTCTAGTAGTGAACCATAACCAAAAGATCGAAAAATAGGGAAACACTGCCACGAATCATGGTTATCAAACCATGCTATCCACCTTCAACCAACTCCTTAGAATCCTCATGACGTCCCTCAATTCGAGTATGGATCCTGTGTTTCTAGTAGTACGTGTAACGACCCAAAATCTCTCTGTTATTAAAGTTAGTCTTCCATTATATGGAATTAAGCTTTACGTGCATTTTTGTGTGTAAAGTTATATATTTAATATATATAAAAAACAAACAAAAGGAGATTATTTTGGATTTTTAGGATTTGAATGAGATTTGTAGGATTAAGTTCACAATTAAAAAGAAAATAAATAAGTATTTGAGTTTATAAAAGAAATTTACTTAATAAATAAATTCAAGTAAATTAATTGAAGCAAATAGATACATGGGTCCAGGGACTGATGTTGCCATATCTGAAAATACCACTTAATTAATTAAAAAACAAAAAGAAAGAATGGGGTGGATTATGGAAAGTTTTGAAACTTCAGGGACATGAATTATAAGTTAGCTTAATAAAATCTCCTTAATTTGGAGGAATAACGAACATACGTTTCTTTTTGTTTTCATTCCCTCGACGGCTTATATGCCGTCTTCACCCTAAAAAAAAGGAAACCGAATACATCTCCTCCTTGGGCTGTCATACTTGTGTCGACGAGAGAAAAGAAAGAGGGAGAAAAAAGAGTGGGGGAGAGGGAAGTGTAACACAACGGCTAGGGTTCAAGAACAAAGCAATGGTGTGCGTTCCTAGAACCAAAACGGATGAAGAGTGACCAGAGAGAAATTGATGCAGATTTTATGTGGTTATGGATGTGCCGCATAAGTTAAATGTGCATGAGAAAGCTTTGTTTAACGACGTGATTATTTCCCCTCAAAAAGAGGTACATCCTTTACATAAGTTATTGCCAAGTAAATTAATTCACATAAGAACCATTAAGAACATAATACATGTTATGATGTATGGACAAATAATATAATTATTTATAAGAGCATCAATATATTTTGATCAAGAAACTAGTTGCAGCAGTAGTTTTTAATCCAGTTAATTTAGCTAGTTGTAGACTTGTAGGTGATTGGTAATGTGTGTTTTAGCAATTTCAATACTATTATTCAAATTATGAGATTAAATATTAGGCAGACCATAATAGTTGGCCGTGTTTGCATTTGACTTACAGGAGGTTGTAATATAAACTAATATAGTTGATATTTACATTACCACTAAGAATGATTATAAGACAACTAGGCGAATGCCCGCGCGTTGCGCATGATAGGAAAAAAAATATTTTATATTAAAAATAACTAAATCATTGTTATTAACAATTAAATAATAATTCCATAACAAATATAAAAGATGATTTTTAGTATTATCATTATGTTGAACTATATCATAAGAGATAATGTTGGAACTTGAAGTTGTTGTGCATATACAAAGTTATATGGTTAAAATAGAAAAAAAAATTATAAACTTTTAAAAATAAATAAATCATTATTGTTATCTATTAAATAATAATTTCATATTACATTAAAATGTTTATATTAAATATTATCATTATGTAGAACATACGATAATAGAGACATCTTTTTATCTAACTTAAATATTATCATTACATACACATATGATAATATAAACATCTTTTATCTTAAATAGTAAATTTTTTTTGTATCATAAATATTACTATAATTATGTAGAACATATGATAATAGTGATGTCTTTTTTGAGGTTAGAACTTAAATTTGTATTAGATACATGGTTGTAAAACTTGGAAAACACAACCAAATACTCGACATGTTACTTAAACTCGGCCTCCAATGGAAGCGATTTTGCCTAACTCATCCAAAAGACACTCAGATATTAATCAAACTCGATCAAAATTTAAAATATCCAGTCCAAAATCATTTTCGAAATTCTTAAACTTAATTGGTCACTTGTCAACAAAGACAATCTCACCAAAGAATACCATCAACGTCCTACAAACGTAGACGCAAGGAAGATCTCATGACTTAGTCTCATTTAAATATTTCACAACATTTCCTATTTATAGAGGAGGATACATTCTCTTGTTTACTCTCACCATCGATGTGGGATGAATACATTTTAATTAAACTCATTTCTTTATTTGCCAATAATTTCATTTTGCTAAATAAAATATTAAATAATAAAAATAAAATGTTATCCATAAAATTTATTGTTCAATAGTTCTATTTTTTAGTAATATCGTAAGTTGCTATCCAAAAAAGTAAGTTTTTATTGAATAACTTTTTGTTAAATCCTAAAATTATAAATTCAATTAGGTACTTACTATAGAAAGTTTGTTTATATGTATTTTCATGATTCAAAAGGTCATTATATAATGAATTCATTTATAAAATATAATCGAATATATATTTCGTGCTTTTGAATCAAAGTGATTTTCAAACAATTATAATTTTATGCTTAGGTAGATTTTTTTTATATTTATATAACATTATGTAACTTATTTATAATATTATTAGAAACAATCTGAATAATCATGAGAGTTTCAAATGTATGTGGTGAAAGGAAAATGCTTCCTTTATCGGTCCAAATTGATCAAACTCGGACCTGTACAACTCAATATACCAAACTACATAATATTTTTTCTACTGAAACCCGGTTTGTATATATTTCGTGTTTTTGAATCAAATTCAAGTTTCAAAAATTATAATTTTATGTTTAGGTAACTTATTTATAATATTATTAGAAACAATTTGAAAAATCATGAGAGTTTCAAATGTATGTGGTGAAAGGAAAATGCTTCATTTATCGGTCCAAATTGAACAAAATCGGACCGACTCAACACAATATACCCAACTACATAACGGGTTTTCAACTGAAACTCGGTTTGAACCTGAAAAAATCATGTTCAAAACCATTTTCGAAATTCTAAAACTTAACTGGATAGTTGCCAATAAAGACAATATCACTAAAGAATACTCTCAACATCCTAAAAAGGTAGACATAAGGAAGTTCTCATGGTTTGGTCCATTTGAAACATTTCACAACATTTCTTATTTATAGAAGAGGAAATGTTCTCTTTTTTACACTCACCATCGATGTGGGATGGAGACATTATAATAAAACATCATTTCTTGTTTATAGAACATTATTTGACTTATTTATAATATTATTGTAAAGAAATTGAAAAGTCATGGAAGTTTCAAAATGAATGTGGTGAAAGGAAAAATGTTTCTTTTATAAGTATACTAGGCGAATCCCCGCGCGTTGCGCGAGAATAGAATTATATAGTTAAAATAATAAATTTTACCAAATTATTATTTAATATTTCTACTTTGAAACAAAATGTTAGTAGTAAAGCAAACCAATATAGTTAACATATTAGTTTTATTAAACATCATAGTTTAATTTTTAAGTCATTGTGATATATACAATTATTTGATAATTTTATAAACCGTTTAAAATTATGTAAATTATATATCAAATGAATGATAATATAACGAGTAACAAAACGTATAAACAAAAATATGAACTGCAACTTTTAGTAACATAAAAATAGAAAAACATCTATTATAACATTTGTATTAAAAAAGATATATATACAACGAATAATAAAAAATATGAAAAATAAACACTATAACTTTTAATAACATAAAAACTCTAAAACATCTATTATAACATTTATATTAACTCTTCATAATTAAATCACAAATCTCTTCAAATACATTAATGTTTTTAATGAGCAAAGCTTTACAACCTTATAAAAGAAAGGAAAATAAAAAGTTATTAGTGATTACTAATTAATAATCATAAGTTTAAAACTTTTGAGTTGTAACTAATAAATATACATAAATTAGAAAACTCTTGAGTTGTAGTGTGAGTTTCAAATGAATGCGTTACTTGGAAATGTATGTTTTATATTATTATTATTATTATTATTATTATTATTATTATTATTATATTCGTCTAAATAATTGGTTTTGATGCATCATTTTAATCTCTTCAATTATTAAACATAAAGATATTTAATTATAAATTTATAACATACATAGGTGCATATACATGTTAAACAAATCACATATAATATATATATTTTCGTAAATGTCATATGTAATTCTTGTCGTAGTAATATGGATAAATTACTTTCATATGAAGAACATATCATGATAAGTCTATCATAATTACATATCAAATGTTCAAAATTATGTTATCTTTTAAATATTGTCTTTTAAATATGTTGTGTAGGATAACCCAACAACAAAATAATAGAAAATAAACATAATCAAAATAGAAAAACTACAATCAAATAAATAAGAGCATTGAGTGGTTGAATATATAAATAAAGATGTTACATAAACATACATTTAAATCAAAAGAAAAAACTAACATTCGTCAACTTTGCTCAAACAAAAAAACCTATATCCATTTTATGAATATTATTTCTTCATTTAACACCATTCAACCATAGAAACTTGATGACAATTCTTCACTAACCTGCAATCAAAATATTTTTCTTGAAAAAGATGAATCAGAAAGATATTCCAAGCAAAACATTGATGTTTGGAGAGTCACATTCAAGATTGATTAATACACA